AATTTTACATTGATTCTTAACTGTGGATTAAGTTGAAAATTTTAAATATTGCTCAATATCCCTACAAATCTATATAGGCACTAGTGGCGAGCCATGAAAATTGTAGTTAGTGAAGCCGGAGCCCGACAAAAAGCACTTCTCTTAAGAAAAAATGGCGCCTTGCCGTCACTCAAACAGAACTTATTACCACAAGGTACTAGTATACTTCATTTCGCTGGTTAACTTATTCTACATATAAAATTTAGCACAAAATGTAGTATTTGCTAACACGTGGAAAATGTTAGACAAGCCGGTGAAAATCATGTTATATGGACGCCTGGCCACTGATAGGCACTTACATCTAGGCCTAAGGAGCTGCACAGCGACCAATGGACTTAGATAACCTGGCGTGTTGTCGTACGGGAAGTAAACCTCGGACAGTCCAGGATATGGGTAGTACTTGAGAGGACCCAGGTGTTCGTTATCTTCTGGCCGCTCGCCGTTACATGACAACCACACTTTGCGGCGCTGGAAAGTAAGAACGTAGAACTATTTAGATAAATATATTGAAAAAAAATCTAAAAGATGATTATGGGCACAGTAAGGTTAACAGAAGCGTTTATTTCTTATGTCATGGCTGACCTGCTGCGGTAAGGTGGTAGAGTTGATGTACTGGACAATGTCTGGCGGCATATCAGGTGGCAGATTGTTTGTGTCGTTGTAGAAAATCGGTGTGAAGTCGTATATCTGCAAAGTGTATACATCGAAGACTGAATTTATACCTATGTTACGCATTATATCGTTAAGTCTTATGAATAATATAAATAAATAAATATTAGACAATATGACATTCGTTGCTCTGATACCGAAGGAAGTAACTAAAACTCAGGTGTCATGGAAATCGGAAACAACGACGGTACCACAAACCTCCAGACCTGATACAAAGTAGAAAAGTTAGTTTTTCCACACTGACCTATAGTAGCAGTTTTTCAATAGTAGCAGCAGAGCTCCTTGTGAAAGAGTTACCCACCCAGGGAAGTAGCCTGACCTAAATGTTTATTATCAAATCATTTACGCAAATATACGGTTGAACGACGCGACGACGTCGTTTCATGACGTCGTTTCTCTTAAATACAAAATGGCTAACCTAACGGCCGTCACTTCTACGAGCTATGTGCCCTGCCCACTACCACTTCAACTTGCTAATCCTTCGAGCTATGTCGGTGACTTTCGTTCTTCTACGGATATCCTCATTTCTGATTCGATCACGTAGAGAAATGCCGAGCATTGCTCGCACCAAAGCTCATTGAGTGTCTTTAAGCTTTTTTATGTTGCCCATAGCAAGTGACCACGTCGTCGAGCCGTAGGTCATCGCTGGCAACACGCACTGCTCGAAGACTTTTGTCTTCAAGAACTATGGTATTGCGGTACGAAGCTTCCCGAAAGCTGCCCAACCGAATCGGACTCGACGATTGACCACTTTCTAATTGGACGGTTTGTCCGAGGTAGGCATAGTCGTCAACAACTTCGAGAGTAGAGGTTCCCACTGTTATAGGGGTGGGTACGACATTTTTAGACCCACTTCCTGGGAAACTCTATTGAGGTTATTGTTATGAGGATATTTTATATACTTACCTAAATAATACTACGAGCTACCGACTGATTTATAAATAGACGGCTATGTCACTATTTATGCGAGTGAAAGATTTTAATTTATTTACTAATAAGTAGACTATAACGCTATAGAATTAGTTTAATGGCGAATGGCGATGGAGTGGTATTCCAACCTTTTCGAGGCGAGATTGAATAGGCATTATTTAGGTGTGTATGCTCCATCGTCATATCATATGCTCACCGTCACACCATCAGGCGAGATGGAGGTCAGATGCGCACTTATTTTATAAAAAAATAATAAATTTGTTCCACTACTTTGTCTGTACTGTCTTATGTTACTTTCTATGTTTATTATGTCTAATGTTTCGACTGAAAGACTTGAATCCACGGCCATGAAATAAATTTAAAAAAAGTTAACCAAACATCGACTTTTCATAAGAACTGTAATCTAAAAATCCTGTTATTGTGATACTCACGCGACACAGGAGCGTCGGTATTGTGGTGTACCTACAGATAATAAAGGTACGCGGTTCGCCCGCCATAGCCATTACGGCGCTAGATATGTTAAATAACCAACGTTGTTTTATTGAGCTATCCATGTACAAAGTAGTGTGTGAGTATCTTAGACTATGGATTTCTTTTTCATCCTCTAAGGTGGGTATAGTTAGCTACTCGTACGTCAAACTAATTAGGTAATTTGTCTGTAGTTTGCGGAGGATTGGCTACAATAATAGCTCATAATTTATTCGCCTTGAGCGTTTGTCGTCCACGAGACTTATTTATCAGGTTAAAAATTTCCACTTCAGATCTGAGCAAACACGTACAGTGCGCTTGTTAGTTGTATCCGCTCCCGGTTTCGCTGTATAAGTGCCATATCGAAACTCGTTTTTAAAGGTACCAGGAATTTTACCTGCACGTTTAATTAAAAAACGAATACAAAACTCACCAAAACGAAAACAAACTAATAACGCCAACATTTTAATGTTGGAGTCTTAACATTTATAATATGCAAACGTTTGCCTAAATAACATGAATTTTAAATTGAAAAGATTTTATTTCATTTCAAAGTTTCCGGAACTTTAAAACGGATATTTAATACTTTAACCCCTTATAAAAGAGATCCAGTATTCATGAACTAATCTAACATTCTTAATTCGTTTTTAACATAATCGAGAACGGAGAAGAAAGTGCATAAACGCCAAACTACAAAGTTCACAAGACGTCTTCCTTATTGTTTTTAACAAAACTTTTTTGACGAATTATTGAGTTCTGAATTTGAAAAATCCAACAACATCATTAACTCTATCTAATTGAAAGAAAATGGCTTTTACGCCTTCAGGAGTCCCACAGGGCTCTCCTAATTTAGATTTGTCTCTGACAACCACAATTAGGCTCTATTTCATAAGTTTTTAATAATTTATTGTGATTACATTCCTGAAGATATCGCATTTTATCCAATTTATATTTTCATTATACAAACCTTATTGAGTTTAATTATGAGACACGGCGTCATATTAGAATAGCCATAGTCATTCTCCCTGTTGCAGGGCCCCAATAAGCTGGTGTTAAAAGCGCACACTTCTTTGCGAGGTGGCTTCACGTCGCCACATTCGCGCTGGTTGGAGCCACCGTTCACGAGAAGGGACTTGTTGTTGTAAGGTGCCAAGAACTGGTCAATGTTGTTGACGTATTTCTGAACTTGCGTGCGATTAGTGGCGTTGTAAACGATGAGGCCGTAATCTTCGGCCACAACTGGTCGGTGTCCCATGCCGGGGTTGTTACCTGCACACAAACTTTCACTTTCTTTTATTTAATAATATAGGGGGCAAACAAGCAGAAGAGCCCCTTGACGTTAAACTTCGTTTTTGAAGAGACTACGTTAAACTCAGCTTATTAACATAGTATAAAAAAAGTAGGGAAACTAGCCTGTTCTACGCATAAATGCCTACACTTATACGGGGACTCTAAAATTGAACTCCGACAATAATAATATGACATGATTTTACTAAGACACTACGCTATTTCGACAACACAGACTAGATATTTCTTAAAATAACTTTGTTTTCAGATAAGAAAAATCATCATTACATGGTTTCTTATTATATATCGATCAATATAACAAAAAAAAAACAAAATCATATAATCGAAAAATTCTTTAATAATTGTATGAGACTTACGCGCCAACTACGCTACCGAGGTTATTAATTATACAAAGTGTAACAAACAAAAAACTGTTAAATTAAAATATCATAAAATATATTTTTTTCATGTGTATACATGAAATAGTTATTTTTGATACAAGTGCGGAAAGTTAGTCATTATTCACGAGTTTCGAGGCTTCTTCTCGAAAACCCGAGACAAGTGAAAATTACAAATCCGCACGTGTATCAAACGACATTTTTAATACATTTGCGAGAAAACTACATTTAATGTAAAATAAAAAAATATTTTTTAAAAAACTCATTTTATTTCTTTGATAAAAATTCGGAGTACAATCGCAACTGTTATTTGATTTTTAATTCGGGACTTAATCACGTATAAAACATATTTTATTTTATTTACCTCGACGTTTCGGACATATTGCAACGTCCATGGTCTCGAAGGGACTGAAGAGGCAACTGTTGCCAGTATTCAGTTACATTAAAATTACTATTTTAGTGACGCGGCTCGCAACGGTCTCGCGTAATACTCACCTCCGGTCATTGTTAATGCTCAATCAGCCATCTTTATGGAAAATGTTTTGGTATTTTTAAATGTAACCCGTTGTTTTATAAAACACCTATGCAATTTAAACAAATAAGATGTTTGTAAGTAAATATAAGTACTGACGAATGACTTACATACGTCACAAAGCAAATAAATATTAAATAAAAATACAACCTCTTTAGTTCTGTTTTTAAGACTTGAAACAACAGTAAATTAAAAAAATGGAACAGTAAAAAGCACTAGTGCGAATAATCCAACTTTCGGCACGATTTGTAGTACGAAAAATACCACGTTTTGAGCAACTGTATTAAAATAATATTTTTTTTATCGAGGGTCTAAAACAAGCCAATATCGTGGGTGTTTTGTAGAAAGGGCGTAAGCGCCATTTCGAACAAATTTTCCGGTGAGCATGTTTTAGTTTTTCACGACGGTTTTAAAATATTTTTACGTCCTGTTTTAAATTCAATTTTGAAACTTAAACTTAATTGAATCAAAATTTAATTTTAAAGCAATATTTAAAAGTGTCGATGTAACATATCGTCAGAGTAGCGTCAGAGTGTCGAAGTTCAATTTTTAACCGACCTCAAAAAAGGAGGAGGTTCTCAACTCGACTGTATGTTCTTTTTTTTCTTTTTTTTTTGTATGTATGTTACGCGATAACTCCGGTATTTGTGAACCGATTTTCATGATTCTTTTTTTGTTGGAAAGGGGGTACTTCCATAGTGGTCCCATTTTATTTTGAAGAAAATCATCCACCTCGTAGGGTGGCTGTTCACGCATGAAGATTCATTTTTATAAATAGCGCCTAACTTCAATTTAGGAGCAATTACTTTAATGGTTGATTTTGCTTTTTCTCCAATTCAAGGCGTTTTTCTCTCGATATACTTTGTGTAGTGTCGTAGTGAGAACATATTTTTATTATCTCCAGCGTCAAGTCCTGTATAGTGGCGAACTAGGGGATATTTCAATAAAACTTAGCAAATAGACGTAATTCCACGTACTTTTGAGGTCGGTTTTTTTAGTACTCTGTACTGAGATTATAGAATCTTCGTTTGGAGCGTAGGCTTGTCACATTATTATGTATCTTAGTTGTACCTACACGTTGAAAGCAGGATTTGAAAAAATTTGAGTGTTCATGACAGTATTCTCAATGCTAGATCTCGTACGATATGACATTTTACTGAACGTAAACTGAATTCAAAGTACCACAAACACAACAATAAACACGTCTACAATTTTTGTCATTTGTCAAATACTGAGCGACCGCTTTAATTCTACATATAATGAATGGTGCGTGAGACGATTGTTGGTATGCAACGCGAGTGCACCGCGAATGTGTGCGTAAATTAAAATATCGGCATTCATCGATACTGATATTGATTGCGGATGTTCGAGTCGGAAACTAGGGAGACAGCTACTGTGGAACGATACCTGTGTGGACACTGTAGCCCCTCCCATGTCCTTGCAAGCGTGGGCGGCGAAGGCCCTGTGGGCGGAGCGGTGGAAAACCGCAGAAGGCTGTTGAAACCCTGGGTCCCTGGGGGCTACAGGCGAAACTTCTAGCAAAAGAGCTGTCGGATCGTCTCGTAGAAGCCTCCGGTGACCTCAAGACTGGCAGCTATTTCCGCCAAAGAATAAGTTTAGCAATTCAAAGGGGAAATGTTGCTAGCTTTCTGGGCACGATGCCTCAGGGCACGGCCCTCGAGGAATTTTTTTATTATATATAATCTTTCTTACTTTTTTTATGTATCTAGCTGTTAGAAGTAGTTTAGATATTTTTCATACAAAATGAAATGAAGATTATTTATTATATAAAATAAAGATATAAAGATTATTATATAAAATAAATTGGATTAATGGAAACCAATATGAGTACATTTAAAGTTATTAAGATATTTTTAGTCGTGACATAACCTAAAAAGTACGCTGGAATAATTTAAAAACCTCCCAGAAACTGACTGTAAACCGAATAAGAAGCTGTTGTTTTTAAAATATAACTTTGATGAAATTCCAGAACGATTAAGCTAGGCAGATTGTTTTAATGTAGATTGATTATTTTGTTAATAAATGTCACAAAATCATTGAAATATTGTTTTATTACAATACCATACAAAATAGAAACCTTCTTCATGTGGGTTGGAGTCTACCTCTATAATCTACTGAATAGTAAGGATGTACATGTTTCGTGTTTTTTTTAAATATATAAAATCAGCGTCCGCATCAGCATCCACCCTGAACTTGCATCAGAATCAATGATGGCGCGCGGACTGAGGTGCATACATACAAGCCGCGCGTCTACGTTTGTACTACTTTGTACGGAATTACGATACCTGTATTTTTATACTATTATATAGTGGTGTGAAAAGCGAGCCTTACCTATGACAGAGTCAGCGAGTGTGTAGTAGGGAATGGTGTCGTCTATGGTGGCCATGAGGCCGCACATGCAGAGCGAGAAGAAGATGATAATGCAAATGTACATCACCAGATAGATCAACCCGATGACTCCTGCAATTTAAAGCAAGTAAACATTAGGTAATATATTTAAGTTGCGGCGGCTAAGGGTCGTAATACGATTACACCACTTTACTAAAAAAGTAATTAGTTTATAAAATAGTATGAATTATAATTATATATCCAAAATGTAAACAAATAGGATAACCGAGCAAAAACAATATTTAAATAGTTTCCTATTTTTGACGATAGTAAACAATGAACTATTTTCAAACTGTAACCTGATTCTATACTATTCACAATTTGCAATATATACCTACTCGTATTTTTACTTAAATTTCGTTTAATGTAATAATTATAACAAAAGACTGTTAGGACAGTAAATAATATTATGACACTGCTAACACAATCGGTATCAAAAACATTTTTTGTGCCGCCATTTTGTCGTGTCATAAATGTCGCTCGGGCTTTGTTTTTCGAGTTCGCATATTTTCTAGTCTCCGTGGCATCTCCGTGGCGATTTTTTTTATACAATTGTGTAGTTGTTAAAGTTCTTGTTTATTGTTTTATTTTGTAATAGATAATTAAAATTGTAAGTGTTCTCTTCCGGTTCCGTTAAATATAGAGCGTTTCGCACACCTGCATTCACAGTTTGACAATGACATTTCTTTGTTAACATTTTGGACATCTGATTATGATTCATAGTTTAGGCCAAAAAAAAATTAGAATTATCATTTGGTTAACGACGACTATCCAACAGGGAAGTACCATACATCGTACACTTATAATAAAATCACATGTCAATGTGATGATACGTCTAAAGTGTTTTTGCCACATCAAATGAGTCATAAATAATACGAATTGCACGAAACAAATAACATAGATCTCGCATTTCACAACTCTCCTATTTACTTTTTTCTATTACATAAAAAGTTATCGAGTAATTTCGTTCGAAGAACCTTTAAGAGTTTTGACACTACCCTCAGCTCAAATTCATATTTTTACCGTACTAATACGGTTCATATTGCTTGAGTCGAGCGGCTGGGACACTGGCGTAATTTCAGAATTTGTTTTTTTAATTAATTAAAGCCATTTGAACAATGTATGTCGTATAGTATACTTGTTCTATATAGTTCAGTGCATATAAAAAAGGGGTAGTATTTAACCGCTCACCAAAAAAGCAAGTTTTTTACAAAAAAAGCCACTTCCCCAACAAAAGTACTGATTGCACATGAAAATATGTACATCATAATCTCAGTACAGAGTACTAAAAAACCGACCTCAAAAGTACGTGGAATTACGTCTATTTGCTAAGTTTTATTGACTTGACACTGGAGATAATAAAAATAGGTTCTCACTAAGACACTACACAAAGTATATTGAGAGAGAAACGCCTGGAATTGGAGAAATAGCAAAATCAACCATTAAAGGAATTGCTCCTAAATTAAAGTTAGGCGCTATTTACAAAAATGAATCTTCATGCCTGAACAGCCACCCTTCGAGGTGGATGATTTTCTTCAAAATAAAATGGGACCACTATGGAAGCACCCCCTTTCCAACAAAAAAAGAATCATGAAAATCGGTTCACAAATACCGGAGTTATCGCGTAACATACATACAAAAAAAAACATACAGTCGAATTGAGAACGTCCTCCTTTTTTGAAGTCGGTTAAAAAGAAAATTAATTTAGCATTATGAACTAAAATTAGTGCATAACATTTTATCGCAATGCATATCTAACATCTAAATAGAAATCTAATATTTCTGGCATATAACAAACGCATGACCACAAATTTATGACAATTGACTTACAATTATATGGACGTCGGGTCCGCGCTAAAAAGTGTCCGAACTTATAGGGCGTTAAAATCGTATACAGAGCGTCATTCACGCTTTAGTCTTCGTTTGTTCGACTGACAGCGAAGCAAGCAAAATTAGACAGTACTGCGATGACATTACAATTTAAATTCAATGTTTTAGCTTTTTCATATTCCTTTACATGTCACTACGTTTAAATAGGTTGACTTGGGACATTTTTTTCGTGGTTTGTGTATTAGACCCATCGTCCATTTATTTGTAAGTCAATGGTATAAAACAACTTTTTATTGGCAATTATACAATTAGCCCAAAACAACAAGAAATTAAATTGCACACAAACAAAGTCTAATTGCTTAAAAATCGCAGTAATTTTTTTAACCGACTTCAAAAAGCGGAGGTTCTCAATTCGCCGCTTAGCGTATAAACGTATAGATAATTTGTACGCAACTTTTGAGAAAAAATACGGTAATTTTGTTAAAAGAATTGTTATATCATTTAGAGTTAATTTAAATTGATGTGCAATCAGTATTTTTATATATTATACATAACTATTAATATTCTTTCACGGGAAGTGAGTAAAACGTTTTTCATCGACTCGTTAATACACTAACAGTGGGTATGTCAAGCTAGCCAGTACATTAGCACTTTGGAAATGCTAAATGGTTTTGACAACACAAGGAATATGATCAGAAGTTTATTTTTGTAGTTAGCAATTGTCATTGACATATTCTATCGCATTTAGCAGTTCATGATTTGTTCGAAGGCGCTAAACCTTTCAACAACAATATCAGCATTATCTTTTGCAATCCGGTTACGGAAAGGACAATGCCCACGGCCAGTACTCTTAAAAAAGGTGTTGTGTCTCAATCATTTGAAAACCAAAAATTAAACAAAAATATTTCATGTGTTTGAGCTTTTCTACTAAAAGATTCCTTTCCGGGTTATAATTTTATAAATAATAAACAATGTAACTTCCGTTTTACAATTCAAATCATTTCTGTCATTAACGCTAGTGTTGCGACAAAGTAAAGGCGTCTGAAACCGATAGATTATGTATTATCTAAAATAGTTTCTTTATTGTTTGTCTGACGTTATTAAAAGACGGATATTTGAAAACGAGTTAATAAATTATTGAGGTACCTATTCGTATAATTCGGGGCAAACATCTTGAGTAATGACCTTGAAAGCGCAGGAATACATTTTGGGTCTCTTTGGAGGTATGAGCGGCGCACGAACTACGGGAGGTATCGTATCTAGCACTTTATTAATAGACTAGTAGACCCTTGCCTCCCGTACTGCGTTATCATCACACTGAATCCCTAAGAATGTCGCACAGAATAAGAATGTTCGTTATTTATTGTTTTTTGTTGTAATTATTAGTTGAGTTTTTGTCAATTGGTTTGTAGAAAGTGACACTACGCCACGACATACTAACGTGTTTTATGACATGATAGCGACACTTATGATGATAATGATGATTAAATACAAGTAAATGATTATTTGTCATTCACGGGTGAGTGTTTATCACTCGTTTTGTTTTTTTTTTACTTAAAATCAGCAATAAAATACAAAAATATGAGAGTTATTTTGGGTAACTCAACAATACGCTTTATTTTTTTACGTAAGTATACATGCGCACCACTACGCCTCCCAATACTCAAGAAGTTTGCCCCGATCTATATAATCAATCATAAAAACAAGGAAATGTTATTCATTAACTTTAAACAATTTTTATAGAAATCGATTATGTACAGATTAGGTACATCCC